CGCGGCGGCCGGGCGGCCGGGCGAGAACCCCCAACGCGTCGTCCGCTCGTGCGCCCGCCACCCCCGCGCCGCCGGCTCCGACGCCCAGACGCCCCAACCGGGGTGGCCGCAGTAGTGGGCCCTCCCTCTTCTCCCAGCTCCCCGGCAGGCCGCGGGCCGGCAGGTGGGAGGCAAGGTGGCAGCCAGGGCGAGTGACACCGGAGGGGCCACGCTTGCTTATCAACCTGCCGGCGACACCAGAGCACCCGCAGCTGCGAGGCTTCCTCTGGCCTTGGGCAAAGCATGACTTTCAAAAATCGAGTCTCCTAACATAGTTCCCTTTCCAGTCTGCGCCCCGCACTCCTGGGAGGTGCCAGGGGCGGTGGGCCGTGGCACCTGGAGACAGACTCCAGGCTGAGCCCCTGTCCTCTGGGCACCCACTGGCCCACCTCCTTTCTGGTTCCAAGTACTGGCAGGACACACCCCTGCCCAGAAACCTCTGTGCCCATCACCCTAGACACCTCAGCTTAGCAGCCCCTGCCTCTGGAGTATGCCGGGGACCCCACATATACTACTGCCTTTCCACTGGGGACGGAAAGGCTGTGGGAAGCAGGCGCAGGCTTTCCTGGGGGCCCAGCCAGCAGTCAAGGCTCGCTAAGCGCGCAGGACGTGGGCATCAGTGGGCTCGACTGGCAGAGCTGCAGGGGCTCTTCGGAGACTGGCAGCAGCTAAGCGAGCTGAGTCTCAAGAAGGGGATTGTCTTACCCCCTTGCCTCGGGGACTCTAGCTCACGGGCCGTGCTGGGCTGGGGATGGGGTATGTTGGAGCGCTGCTTCCTTGCCCAGGTCGTCCATGGGTACGCTCCTACTGGCCTCAGAAGCCTCTCACCCACCAGCCACACCTGCCCATCCCACAGTGCTCTTGGGCGCTGGCACAGCATTAAATAGACAAGACACCTAAACCCGGGAGGGCCATTATGGGGTGGCAAGACCCATCTGGGCTGCATCCAAGACTGCCATATCCCAGTTTGAAGCCTGAGGCTGGGGCGAGATGGCCCTGCCCTCTTGTGACGCTGAGGGCCCAAAATCCAGCCCTGCTTGCCCTTAGGATGCTGCAGGCAGAGCCCAGCGGGGCTAGGTGTCCCTGCTCCCACCCCTCAAGGCCTCTGGCGAGCAGTGAGCAGGCAGTGAGAAGCCGGGGTTCTGGCCAGAGGGACCTGCAGGGGACTAAAGGGTGTGTGCTGTGCTCCAGGCCACCCAGGGGAGAAGGCCCCCCTCCGGGAGACGCAGGCATGTGGGGCTCCCGGGAGCTGCTGCTGTTGTGGTTCCTAGTGTTGGCAGCGGGTGGCACCGGGCATGCCTACCGGCCCAGGTGAGCCAGGGCGGCCCCAGTCCAGACGGGGATCCCCATGGGCTCCTCCCGAGGTCCCTTCCCAATGTCCCTGTTCCAGGCTGGGAGGGTCCTTGCTCTGCTCCTCTGACCCCACCCCGCCCCCAGCCGCAGGGTATGTGCTGTGGCGGGGGCCAGGCCAGGCCCCGTCTCTGAGTCCTTCGCACAGCGTGTGTACCAGCCCTTCCTCACTACCTGCGATGGGCACCGGGCCTGCAGCACCTACCGGTGAGTGCCCCAGGCCCAGGCCAGGCCCACCCCCTTGCACACTGGCTGCAACCATGTGTGGGGACCCCTTTCTGGGCCCCAAAACCCTGGGTGTCCAGGGTTAGGTCATCACCCCAGTGTTAGCTGTGGGAGGACGGGGCCCTGCGGGCACCCTGTGTTTAGCGGGCTGCCCACCCTGCCTGGGCCTCTCATTTCAGAGATACTCACTGCTCCAAAACGCACCTCAGTCATGGGGTCCCATCCTGGGCTCCAGAGTGCAGCCCTCTCCCCAGGGCCCCCGGGAGCTCCGCCTCCTCTCCGCACAGAAACATCTGGGAAAGCTCAGGAGGGGTAGGAGGGGTGGAGCAGAAGCCCAGCTTTGCCAGGCCGAATGGTGTGAGTCGGGGCACCCCAGCTACTTGAGAGGCTAGACTGCAAGGTCCAGGCCATGTGGAGCAAACTTGTAAGACCCTGTCTCTAAATTTTAAAAAGTGTGAGTTCAAGACCAGCCTGGGCTGCCAAATAAGCTCACGGCCTGAACTGCACAGTGAGACATTCTCATAAAGACAAAAATAAATAAAAAGTTGAGATTGGGGATGTGGCCCAGTGGTAGAGCATTTGCCAAGCCTGTGTGAGGGCCGGATTCGGTCTTCAGCTCTGTAAATAAATATTTTTTTATTTATGTATTTGTACAGTGTCACTGTGCAGTTCAGACTCATAGTGATCCTCCTGTTTTCAGCCTCCCCAGCGCTGGGATTACAGCTCTGCGCCACCACGCCTGGTCCCAGTGGCAGGCTCACTGCACCCAGGGGCAGGGCCAGTGGGCAGACCCCGGGTCCCTGTGCTTGCCAGCGCAGGCCCTTAGTCTGCTGAGCTATCTCACCCGCCCAGATACTCTCTTGCACACAAGGAGTTTTTTGGTTTTCAGTAGTGGGGACCCAACGCAGGACTTGCACTTGCCAGGCAGGCATTTATGCCACTGAGCTATCTCTGGTGTGGCACTGCAAATAAATAAATAATACAAGTTCAGAACATGGCTCTGCTCCAGGGGAGCAGCTGGACCCTCAAGTTAGGCGCTGGCTGAAGGGCACCTTCACCAGGCGCCCAGAGCTCAGGAAAGGGCAGAGGGGCCGGCTCAGGTCTGCCAGAGACTCACTGCAGGACAGAGCCAGCTGCCCCCAGGGTGTCCATCCCAGGAGCTTAAAGAGCCCAGTGGCACATGGCACTGCCAGGTGTGGCTGGCTGCTGCCCTGCCCCAGGGTGTCATTCCGCACTGGGCACCGCAATGAGAAAGGCTGTGTAGTGAACCATGTCCCTGGGGGAAAGGACTCTGGGATGCCTGGGGGGACTGCTCAGATCCCTGAAGCTGGCAGGCTGAACACACGGAACCTCAGGCCCTCATGCGCCAGGCCCTTCTGAACCACCCCTGCCCCTACAGAACCATCTACCGGACCGCCTATCGCCGTGGCTTGGCACTAGGCCCTACAAGGCCTCGCTTTGCCTGCTGCCCAGGTTGGAAAAGGACTGGCGGCCTTCCTGGGGCCTGTGCAACAGGTGAGAGGCAGGCCTCCAGCACCACACCACACCCTGCACGAGGGAGCCCAGTCCCCACTCCAGCAGAGCCCCCTCCTGCCACTATTGCGTGGTGACAACCTCCTTGGTCCACAGCAATATGCCAGCCGCCATGTGGGAATGGAGGGAGCTGTGTCCGGCCTGGCCACTGCCGCTGCCCTGCAGGGTGGAAGGGCAGCACCTGCCACACGGGTGAGCCGCCTGCCCTCTGGGCCCTGCGTGCGCTTTGGTTTCCCAGTGCAGTGGGGCCAGTGTGGGTGTGCAGCTTGTGGAGGCGCTGGAGCAGGGCCCTTGCAGCATCCGTACCTGACAGCCCCCCCTTACAGATGTGGATGAATGCGGCTCCGGAGGGGCAGGCTGTCCCCAGGGCTGTGTCAATACTGTGGGCAGTTACTGGTGCCAGTGCTGGGAGGGGCACAGCCCATCTGCAGATGGAACACGCTGCCTACCCACAGCAGAGCCCCCCAGGGTGACCCCAAACACCGTGGCAGGTATGCTCAGCCCCCATCCCCGATGCCATCTGCTCCGAGTGGTGGGTGGGACATCACCCTGTGCCGTGACACTGGGGGGCAGGGAAGGCAGTGATGCTGGGTGGCTCCTGCCCAGAAGGCACTGGAGGGCACCAAGGCTTCTGTCAGTCACGCGTAAGGTAGCTGCCCAGCTGGGGCTGCCTCCCTCCCAGGCTGACATCCTGGAGACATACCTCTGCTGGTGACGGGACATTATTACTTTTGGTACGCGCTGTGACACTTCAAACTCGTACCGTGAGTAATAATGCGCTGTCAGCAGCCCGGCACCAAGACCCCCTGGACCTCGGAGAGGAGCCCGTCAGCACAGCAGGGCCTGGGATGCCAGCGCTGAGGGGTGCGCAGGGTGGGCTGGTCCAGGGCTGTGGGACGGCCAGGTGAGTGAACGGCTGGGTGGGCCAGGGGCTCCCTGACCAGTGCTGGCTCTGCCTCAGGAGTGGACACTGTGGCCAGGGCGGAGGTGCAGAGGCTGCAGGCTCGGGTCGAGGCGCTGGAGCAGGTGAGGCCCATGGGAACATGACTGGGTGCCGGGTGGGGGCTGGAAGATAATCTGGCCAAGGCTTTGCACCAGGCAGGGCGTTAAGGCACAGGTGGAGTGGGGTGCAGGCTGAGCCACCCTACCTGCCACACACCTTCCCATGGATCCTTGCTCCGGGGCCCTGAGGCCTGGAATGGCAGCACAGACAGGTCCCCAGCACCTGCCGTCCACTGCACCTGGCTTAGGCTCTTGTGGGGCAACAGTGCCCTCCAGTGGTCAGCAGATTCTCTGGCCCGCGGTCACCCCAGCCCTGGCGTCCCACAGAAGCTGCAACTGGTGCTGGCCCCGCTGCACAGCCTGATCTCGCGGGCCCCAGATGAGGGGCCACAGGACCCCGGCAGCCTCCTGGCCCGCTCCTTGCAGCAGCTGGACCGGATCGACTCGCTGAGCGAGCAAATCTCCTTTCTCGAGGAGCAGCTGGGGTCCTGCGAGTGCCGTCACCTCCCCGCCCTCAGAGGCCCTGGCTCTTCGAGGGGAGGTGGCAGAACCCAAGAGCAGTCCCCCCAAGAGCAGCCACAGGCCGGGTGACCCAGCCTCCTGTTCCGCCTCCAGTCTTCTGCAAGGAGGTCTGACAGCCCCGTCTTGGGCCCAAGACTGGACTGAGCCCACAAGCCCCATGTCCCTCTGGCTATGGCCCATGTTGCTCTTGTCCCCATCCCTCCGGGGGCTCTTGGGTGTCCAACGGGCCAGGGTGGGCTCCCACCAGGCCCTCCAGGGCCCAAGGGAAGGTACGAGGGCTCCCTGGCTGTGCCGGGATGTGGCGCATGATAGGCAGCTCCCTGAGGTGGGGCGGACTTGTCCCCATCAGAATAAACATGAGACTTGAGATTTGGTGTCAGTGGATGGACTGGGCCCCGGGGAGGGTGCTGGCCTCACAGCAGTGCGGCTGGGGGCTCCACCACGCCCTCACTCTGCAGCAGCCCCTGCCCACCTTCTTGAGTGACTGCAGCATACCAGGCACTTCCAAGAGTCCGTTTATAAAAATGAACCGAGTGCAGCGTAGGTGCCGCAGATGGCCCTGGAGGCTGGGGCTGTGGTAGACCAGGAGTCTTGACTTTGAGCCCTGTCTCCCTGAAAGCCTGATACAGGCTGTGGCCTGGACCCAGGGGCCCCCCAAAGGCCTGATGGCTCAGCCCCCTCTGGATCCTAGAGGCATGGGTGTGAGGGTGGGGGTCCCTGCTCCTGGCAGACTCCACAGGGGACACTGGGAACCTTGATCTGGGGCTTCCGCTGTGAGGCCAGAATGAGAGCCGGGAGGCGACACAGTGGTGGTCAGCAGTCTGGGGGCCCCCTCTGTGTCCGTGTGGCCTCGTGCGACCCCCAACCCCCTGTAGCCGGGCTACTGGGCTGGCTGGGCCCTGGGCCCCTCTGCCACCCCGTTCTCCTGGGGCCGCGTGGACATCTCCAGAAAGGTGGCTCTCATGGCTTGGTGGCAGGTGTCCATGAGTTTAGGGACGTCACCCACAGTGAGGCCAAGGGTGGGGACAGCGTCCAGAACTTGTACTTCGATTGTTCCTAGGAAAGGAAGTGGTGGCTGTCAGTGAGCTGGGAGGTCCCCGAGCCACCACCCTGGCCGCTCCTCTACCCGGCCATCCTGTCCCTAGCTGGCCTTGTCTGTCACAGAAACAATGGTGACCTGAGAGGGCCCAGTGCTGCTCCCGTGGCCTTGGTGGAAGAGCCTGGCTCCTCCCACTGCCTCTTTGATCTTTGACCTTCTCCTTCCCACTTGGTCTCAGGACCTTGTGCCAGCCAGGGACCCTGTCTGGGCAAGGAATAGGCCACGTGCCCTGTGGCCAGTGGTCCTGGGGCTCAGCCCACCCACATGGGGTCAGGCTGGGGCGACCTGTGTGCCCTTGACAGCCTCAGTGTCCTCACCTGGAAGAGGCCACTGCCACCACCGCCACGGGCCAGCAGACTAGTCAGATAGAGCATGCTGAGCTTCGTGCTCAGAGGTCCAGCACCACCCAGACTGTGGCTCTGGGGGCCCAGAGTCACCCACGATCCCTGCCAGGCTCACCTGAGGTGAAGAGCTTGGTACGGAGGTTGTAGAAGGAGGAGAAGGAGGAGTAGACCACAGGGATGACAGGCACCTGCGGGCAGGGACACGTGCGTCCAGGGCAGGCAGGGGCTGCCTCCTCACTGCCTAGGATCGTGCCAGATGCCCTTGGGCAGACCCAGCCCAGGACAGGCCGTGCGCTGGGCTGGCACGTGTGTCTTTCCAGCAGTGGGCCATTATACTAGTTGGGCCCTAGACTGTTCGGCTAGCCGGAGGAAAGGCTGCTTCCCTGCCCCCCAGCCACCCCAAGGGGACCAGGGGAGGGGTGCGGCTGCCGTGTCCCTGGAAGGCACGAGGGTCAAATCCTGCAGTGACAAGTGGCATCCAGGGTAATCATTAACTGCAGGGAGTCAGGGAACCTGGGGCACCGCAGGAGGCTGGAGCTCAGCTGGCCTAGAGACATGGCTGCTGCCGTCCCCAACACCCTGGTGTTTCCTCTGCTCTGGGGCTTGCTGGTGTAGCCCCCCCACTGCCACTAACCCCAACCAAACCCAGGCAGGGAGGTGGAGGGGTGCCAACTGGCCTGCCCCGATCACTCTGCGGTGGCAGGGGGAGGCACCAGAGAACAGAGACTGCCGGGCTGCAGCTGGCAGGCAGACAAAGCCCCTTCCCTGACCCCAACACAGGCTTCCGCAGCCCCCACATGAGAGCCCACCAGGTGGGCACATCCTGATGCTCCCAGGTACCAAGGGCACACTGCCCAGCCCCACCCGAGCCCGACCCCTGAGAGGCCCTGGGTCAGAGGGGGCATGCACAGCACGCTGCCCACGCCTGCACCGCTCCGTTGGCCCTACCTGCTCTGCCTAGCCTTCCAGGCCCGGCACTGGACCTTAAGCACAGGCAGCTCCCCAGGGCTCAGCAGGGAGCAGGTGCCTCCCTGTACCATCCGCCACCCCAGACAGCCAGCAGAGGGTGCTGGAGCCAGTTTAGGAGCCACTCTAGGCCTGAGCTCCAAAGGGCCAGTGCCATCCCCAGCAGGCCAGGGTCCCAGGAGCTCTCACGGCAGAGGCCCTGTTCCTACCCAGCTGAGGCCAGTCTCTGAGATGCCTGAGCACCAGCCTAGCCAGACATCAGCCCCTGCCACCTGGTCTCCTTCTACCCCTGCCCCCCAGGGGTACCCTGCCTACCTGGGTCTGGATGGCCAGGTAGAAGGCACCCTTCTTAAAGGGCAGCAGGTCCCCGTTGTCATTGCGCGTACCCTCGGGGTAGATCCACACTTTCAACTGCGGAGAGGGTCAGGGTTAGGAGTAGGACCCTGGCCGGCTCCCTGCCCCACCTCCCGGCCACAGCACTCACGTTCTCCCTGACCATGTGCTCGCCCAGGCTGGCCATCACGGACACCGCTGTGCTGGAGCGCTGGCGGTTGATGAAGAACACGCCACCCAGGTACATGATGAGGCCCACAGGGCCCAGGAAGAGCAGCTCCCGCTTGGCGACCTGCACACAGCGCTTGGGGAGGATCTCCATGAGACCTGGCACATGGGGGACAACAGGAGGGGACAGAGGTGGGAAGGAGAGAGGGGGAGGCAGACAGACACAGAAAGGAGATGGGGTAGCACCAGAGCCCGTGGAGTGCTCGCCGTGCAGGCAGAGCTCCCCACTTCCCCTGCTGCCCAGCTCCCGCCCCAGGAGAGTTGGGCTTGCCCGGTCCCCAGAGGGAGACAGGCTGAGGGCCTGTGTCCATCCGCGTGTGCTGAGCATACCCATCATGTCCAGGATGCTCTGGTGGTTGGATACGATGACACAGGGCCCGTCCACCTCCAGCTTCTGCCGGCCCTGGACCGTGAAGCGCAAGCCAAACACGTACTTGAAGGACCGAACGAACCAGCTGATGATGCTGTGTGGGTGGAGGCCGTAAGTGGGCCTGGGGCCGGCTCAGCCCTCCCTGGCAACTGCCTGCTACAGCCACGCCAGCTGGGGACAGAGGGTGGCCTGGCTCCTCATGCACGTGACAGGGCGTGTGATACCTGGAGAGAAGGCCGGGCCCCCAGGGTCCGCAAGCCTCCCACACCTGCCTGGCTCCAGAGACACTGGCTGGGAGGTGGCAGTTGGCGGAGGCTGGCGCAGCCATGGGAGTAGCCTGGCACCCTGCTTGCCCTGGAGCTCCACACCTGGCTGGGCCAGGAGCGGTCAGCCCATGGAGAAACCACCGCCTGGGTCCCAGGCCCGGAGGCAGAAGGCGAGAGCTGGGGACACAGTGCCAGCTGGTCCAGATGCGTTCCTGAAGGTACCACTCTCCATGCAGAGGGGCCCCTTCTGTCGGGGTGCAGAGCTGGCTTCACGGCAAGCAGCAGGGCAGTGCCAGCCACCGGGTCCTTCACGCTGGCCAAGACTTTTAATTTTGGCAAAATACGCATACCATAAAATTTGCCACTCAAACCATCTTTAAGTGCGTGGCTTGGCTCTGCGTTAACCACATGAATGTCAGGCGGCTGTCACCACCCTCCACCTCCAGGACCTTCCTTCCTCTTGTGGTTACACGCTTTCCCTGTTAACAGACTCCCTGGCCTGGTAGCCCCCATCCCACTTCCTGTCTCCGTGGCTGTGGCGACTCGGGGGGCCTCACAAGGAGCCCTGTAGGCCTGGTCTCTGCGCCTGGACGCCAGGCTCCTAGCCGACCGGGCCTGTGTCAGAGCCCAGTGCGAAGGGCAACTGTCACTGTAGGGAAACTGAGTCCAGGGAGCCTCCCCAGCTCAGGCCACCCTTCCCCAGGTCAGACCGGGCGCGGGGCAGCTCCTGGACGCTTGGGGACTGGCTGGCTGCTTCCTATTGTGCTCCCCATTTTCTGGCTGCAAAACACTTCCTGGCCTCACAGTGAGGACAGGAGGAGACTGAGCAGGCAGTTCACAGAAATGACAGACAGATGTCCAGGAGGCCAGGAAAACTACCCAGACTCCCTTGCCATCTGAGAAATGCAAATTGAAACAAGAACAGCCCTCCTCCCGCGACTGGCACAGATAGAAAAGAGCGATAGCGGGTGTCACCTGCACTGGGAGACTGCAGGCACTGGCTGGCGAGACCTGTCTGAAAGGCAAACTGGCTTCGGTCCCAAGAAGCCTTGTCCCAGTGCCCACAGCACTAGGAACCCACCTACGCAGCGAGGGATGGGTGGAGGCCCCTGTGTGGGGAGGGCAGGCGCGCCGCGCTCCGCGACATTTACACGGCTCCTGCTCTGGTGTTGCTGCTGGGATGGCGCCTGGGCCTGCTGCATGCTGGGCGAGCATTCTGCAGCTGAGCCGCCTTCCTGGCCCAGCACGCACGTGATGTACACAGGCCGGCTACCCCGATCTGACACCCCGAATCCAAACCTGAGCTGGACGTAAGTGGGTGGGTCCCTGTCGAGCACGTGACATCCTGGGCTTGATCCAGCCAGAAACCAAAACAAAACCTCAAGGTTTGGGAGGCAGTGCCCCAGGTAGTCTGCACCCACCAGTCTCACGTTCGGGGGCAGGCTGAACAGAGGCACACAGAGCATTATACGAAACTCCCTCAGCTGCGTGCATAAGGTGGATGCGAAACCTGCGCGAATGAATGCTGTCCTTAGCCTTAGGTCCCAGTCCCGAACTATCTCGGTGCGCACATACAAGACTCCAGAACCCAGAAACATCTGAAATCAGAACACTTCTAGTCCCAAGCATTACGGACGGATAAGGGCTGCCCAAGCTGGAACCGTAACTTCCAATTCATCCGAATTTCACAGCCTCGGGAGGCTGAGACCACATGCAGGAGTGGCCCGTGGTCCCCTCTGGTACTAAGTGGCAGGTCCCTGTCCTGCTTGCTTTTCTTTTGCCTGCAGTTCTGGGGCTAAAACCCAGGGCCTCGCACACGCTAGGCAAGCGCGCTCTCACTGAGCTGCACGGCTCATTCACACCCTTTTTGTGTTTCAGTATAGTAAAAGATACAACATAAAATTGAACCTTGGAGACGGGTGTGGCAGGTCGCAGCTAGGCACTGTGGGGCTCTGGGGCCAGCAGACGCTTGCCCTGTGCAGGAAGAGGAGGCCCCATGCAGCCATGCAACAGCAGGGCGAGCGGGCCACCCCTCCTGGCCAGGCCCCAAGGGCCCTTCAGTCCTTCCACCGGAGGTAGGGCAGGTATGCAGCTTCTGCAGGGCTGACAAACCCAGGCACCGTGTGGCAACCGTGCACTACAACTGCAAGACGCAGCCACCATCCTGGGCCTCCCTGGTCCCTGCAAACCTGGCAGCAGGGCTCCCTGTAGGGGCTCAGCGTGGCCAGGGCACTCGACTTCCTCTGTGCAGTCACCTCCTCCCCTCAGCTGGCAGGAAGACAGCTGCCCTGTCCTTTCCCTTGGACAAGCCAGGGCCCCAATTCTAGATAGGCGTCACCGAGCCTGCACCCAGGCTTCCGGCCTCCCTCCCAGGTTGCCTGGGGCTCCAGAGCCAGGGGCTGTCAGCTGCACTGCACTGCGCTGCTGTACCTCCCAGGTGGGGCCCTGGTCCCCTCTGGGTTCTTCTCCCATCTTCCCAGCTGTGACCTGGAGCAATCTGCCTGTCCTTCCTAAGTGTCTGTCACCACCTGGAGGAGGAGACCTACGATCCCTGAAGCTGGAGTGTTTAGTAGTCCTGACACCTGGGGACCCCCATCAACACGGCTGTGATGGCACAAGCAGGGAAGGACCATGGTAGCTCAGGCTGAAAGGCCCAGGACTGCCCAGCCCCCACCTACCATTCCAGGTAGCTGGGAGCCAGTTCAAGGCCAGGCCCAGGCCACTGGCCTGGCTGTCCCCAGGAAAGGCCACCAGCTGACCCTTGCTCTTGGCCTCTGGTCTTGGGCTGGGTGTCTCTGGGGGGCACTGGGCAGCTCTTTGGAAGGAAACTTGCCAGAAGGGTCTAGCCCCAGAGAGGAACTGGGGGTACTTTTGGGGCAGCTCTGCCGAGAAGCCATCCATGGCTGGGGCTTGGGATGGGAGGTTCCAGGGAGACCACCTGGCAGAGAAGGGGTATTTGTGACATAAGCCTGAGGCTGGGACAGTGTTCCCAACATTAGCAACATGGGGACTGTCAGGGAGGGTCAGGAGTGCAGGCTGGGGAGGTACTCTTGGGACCCCAGAGAACCGTGCCCCCAGTGTACCTCAGCAAGACAATGACACTACCAACTTGACTGCACAGAGACCTGAGAGGTGACTGGTCGTGGGACGCTGTCCTCATCTGTGGATCAATCTAGGGATGTTCGTGGCTGAATGTGCCGGGACCTTGGGACCCAGGGCCCATCTGGAGGAGGTCATGGGATGGGACCTGGAGATCTGTGGCTGACCGTGCTCATATCCTGCTCTGCTTTCAGCCTCATGAACAAAGCAGCCCAGTGCTCCCTTCCACCCTGACAGACCTGCCTCGGGGCCACGACCATGGACTGCACCCCTCCAACTGTGATGGGCACCTCGCTCTGCTCCTGGGTGTGGGTATGGGCACTGGATGCAGTGTCCTCGCCACCAGGAATCTGGCTTATACGCTTCACTGTGGGCCGAGAGCCCCAGGCAGATGCTCAGGGCAAGGCAAACAGGCCCACAGTGTCTCCACCCCCGCACCTGTCACAGACCCAGACATGTGGCTGGCAATTCTGGCCTCGAGGCTAAATCCTTCCAGGTCAAACCCTGACGGATACTGGCATGCGTCCTGGTGTCTGTGGCTGCAGCCAGGCCTGTGCGCCTTCCTCACAGCTTAGCGTGGCCAGGGCAATGCCAGGGTGTCCTGGTCATGCGGATGTGATCAGAGGCAGGGGTTTCCCCTGGGCATCCTCCATGAGAAAGGCCCTTCTTCTCTCGCCCTGAGAATGGAGGCGTTCCGAGGCAGAGCCCACCTCTGGTCTGCTTTGGTACCACAAGCAAACCGCTGGCCACGCCACTGTTAGCGGGTTCTTGACCCTGTACTTAGCCCAGTTCTAATGCACTCAGCTTCTCCAGGCTTTCCTTGCCACGTCAAATGGGTGCAATGTGGGAATCTGTCTCCTGTTACCCCACCCAGGGACCCAAAAGGGATCAGTTTGGCCCTTCTGTTCCCACCCTGGCCCCGCATGAGCTCTAGCCCAAGTGCAGAGCCTCCTGGGGCACCTGGCTGGAATCCAGTGGGTGGGGACGCTGGACAGGGGACAGAGTGGGGCCACACCCACAGCCCCTAGCTCGGGCGTGTCCTCTAAATCAGTGGCTCCCCTCGGTGCTGTGTCTGGGGCCTGGCGCACTCCCTCTGCTCCTCTTGCACCCTAAGCCCGTACGCCAAGTCTCTGACCCTCAGTCTCGTCATCTGTGAAGTGCAGCATGCAACAGCCCTGGGTTACAGCTGCAACGTGACATGCACAGCAGAACATGTGGCCCAGCCTAGCCCACGAGGTTCCTCCACTAGGTGTCCCCTTTCCCAAGGCCCCACCTCCTGTCTCCTGGGGCCTCTCCCCACTGGCCCAACTGCCTCAGGACACTGCACCCTCACCCTCTGACCCCTTCCCGTGGCCTACACTTAGAAGCTGTGTGCAGACAGCCCAGTGACCCTGACACTTCTGGCAGTCACCACAGCAAGGCTGCGTGGGGCAGGCCCATGCCACCCTCCAGCCTGCAGAAGCCCCCACATCTGCTGGCACTGAAGGTGCAGGAGGGTGGGACAGGAGGCCAGGTGTCCGTCTCAAAGAGCAGCTGGTGGCCTAGATGCCTGCACAGCAGCGGCCCTGAGGACCAGCTGATCTCCCAAGCCAGTCTCCAGTCTGTCTGCACACAGCAGTCCTGCTGGCCCTAGCCCCCCGCCTCCCAGGGCACACCTGCTGGGGCTTCTATCTCTGGGCCCTGTGCCAGCCTGCACCCCTCCTCCGGCTGCTCCAGCCCTTTCTCCTCCCGTGTGTGGGGGGGCTGGCGGGGGGGGGTCCCAGTTTAGTGCCTGCCCCAGCTTTGGAGGCTCCAGTGTGGTCTCATAGAGTGCCTGAACCCCATCCCCACCCAGAAGGGTCCCCACCTGGCTGTCCCTGGGGCTCTGGCAGGGGCCCTTCAGTGTCACTACCCCTCCCTGTCCCTGGGCTTGTCCCTCTCACGGGAACCCACAAAGCCCTAAGATAGGGCCTAGGATTCATGAAGTATCGGCCTCTGGCTGGCAAAGGCAGAGACGGTGGAAAATCAGGACGCCTCAACCCCTGCCCTCTGACCCAGAGGAGGGGGCCTCAGGGACCACAGTGTCCCTATTGCAAGAGCCACGGGCGAGGCGTCCAAGCTGGACAGAGAGGAGCTGCCTGCCGTCCTGGGCGGGGGGTGGGGGCGATGGAGGAGGAGGGGCAGGAGCCGGAAACCTGGCAGCTGCCCCTCCTTCAGTACCCAGCAGACAGCGCCTCTGGGCGGGCCCAAAGGGGAGGTCGAGGCACTTGCGCCGCAGCTGGGTCCCGGCGCACTGTCACCTGCAGGGGGCGGAGTGCACAACACCCCGCGCCCGTCCAGCACCCTAGACCGCCCGCCCCGGCCTCGATGTCCCCGCCCGCGCGCGGCAGCCCGGCCTCTCGTCGCGGGGGCCCGGCCAGGGAGGCGGGGGACATTGTGCCGCCCCGCCGGCGCCGCACAGGAAGCGGAAGCGCTCACCTCATGTTCTCTACGGTGCGGCCGCCGTGGCGCAGCACACAGACCCCCGCTGCCATGGCCGAGACGCCCAGGCACAGCGCGCAGTAAAGGCCGAGTTTGGCGTAGAAGCGCGCCGTGCGGGACAGCGGCACGGCCAGCAGCAGCAGCAGCAGCGCCGCGCTCACCCAGGGCCACAGCTCCATGGCCGCGCCCGACGGCCGCCCGCGCCCGCGCTTAAGGAGGCGAGGGCGGGGCGGGGGACCACGCCCG